TAGCAAAAGTCAACTTCCCTTGGGCTGCATCAACGACAACACAGTCTGAGCTATTGTTTCGGCGCCATTGTCAAGCAAACTGGATTTGAGACAGACGTAAAACAAGTGGCTAAATATTAAAGCATAGAAGGTCAGAAGATACGCAGGTCGAGTTGGCGTGAAGAACTGCCTATCAATAATCAAGCCATTCGACGATCACTGACCGATTAGAACAGCGCCGATGCCCAGATTATCTCGAACGACGCAACTGGCGGCAAATCGCAGATTTTGCAGCCATGTCAATAGCGTTTTAGGTGCGCTTCCCAGTCGAAACCTACAATAATTCTGACCATCAAGTGATGGGCAATCATAGCTCATTGATCGCAGGTGCAAATGTTGTTCGCCTTTTCAAAAACAGGGAACCCCGTAGACTTGTGAAAACTTGCTGGAATCCCTTTAATTTGGTATTTCTGAAAAATAACCTCCGTCCTTTTTATACTCGATCGTCTAGATTTACGCCCCGAGCAGGGGATTCCGACCTAAGGGCCAGTGCGTATTTAGAAAAAGCGTAGGTTAATCGATCTGATTCTTGCAGTCCGGTCTTGCAGGAGAAAGATCAGACACTGAGAAAAGGTTTCTAAATCCCACCAAAGCCTTCAACGCTATAAGCCTAGGCAATTATTGAAAAGTCATAACGACATTTGGATATGTCGAACGGTTCGAGTCAGGAATTACGCAACACTTGACAGCCTGGTTTAACACACCGCGGACAAACGGTCAACATCGGAAGTCTTCGTGGTGACAAACGGGGCCTAACAGGACTGCATTCACATCTCAACCCTACTCAGTCTCATGCTGTCTGTAATGCTGATTAACGACCAGGCATGAACATCAAGTATCAAGTCGATGTAAAGCCATCCAACATTCGCTACACGCAGGTCGTTATAAAAACAGGGTGCATAACCTTTTCTTATCTGACTGGCTTTGGACTAAAAAGGAAATGCAGCAAAGTGTAAACCTTTTCACCTATGGATATGCCAACTTCCAAATAACTCCCAGCACGCGGCAACGGCAGACAAGATGGACAAAAACGGCTCAGAAAGTGCCCACCAAATGCCTCCATTCAAAGTTAGTATTAGACCTGTGAAACGCTTGTACGAGACCGGTAGACATGACAAACGGTGATAAACACTGGGTGGATTAACCAAATATGGGGATCCAAGGCAAAACGATAAGCACGCAGAATTGAAAGGCATTGACCAACGAAGCCAACGTCCCATCCCTGTCAAATCCCATTAAAGACTCCCATTAACCCTGTTGTAGCGCAATGCCAATGGGGACAACCTACATCTCAGATCACAAAACACCACCGCTACCGTACATAGCTGTCTCATCTATCATCAATGTGACATCCCATACGCATCTCCGTCCACCATACCCGGACTCCTTTGCAGTCACCGCAAAGGCAACTCCGCCATGACTCAGGTGGTAAAGTCATTAGTGCAGGCATAATATCAGCTTCTATAAATAGATGACGTGCATTCTGATCACGCACCGGCTTGTTAAGCACGTAGAAATTCGTCTCAGCGACGGGACTGCAACACGATTGCCAGGAGCCCCGATCAACACCCGTCATGACTGCCTTACCTGCCTACAATGCAGCCGCACTTACGGCCAGCGCGTGTGCCTGTTTGGCCACAGGCGGACAGACTTCCACCACCACCACTACCACTACCACTACCACCACCACCACCACCACCACCACCACCACCACCACCACCACCACCAGAAACTATCTATTGTTGGGATTCTCACCGTCCACGCACGACTACATACCTCATGTAATTTTCCGGTTGTACGTGTACACCTCCAGACCCCGCATCGCCCATGCATCAGTCCTGCGCCAATGTTCGCCAAAGTCAGTAGGGATGGGCGAGCTGTCGTATGTGTCAATGCGCTCGCGTGCACAGACCCCGCCACCTCAGTCAACGCGCTTAAACTCATCACACGGGTGTTGAGAGATCCGGACAGGCCGCTGACGCATGAGTGGCAAGGCAGAGTGGAGCTTATGTTGAGATGCCCTACACCATGATGAATCAGCACATTCCTCACTACAATGAATCTGAGGCACCCGAACCTGATAGAAGCGAACAGGCGAGTTCCAGGTAGCAGTTCAGAAGACGAAGATGCGATCACTGGAACAAGAAATTTATTTGCCTGACGTTTCGGATCCTTACTCGAATCCATCATCAGAGACATTCGCAGATAAAGGTGATGGTGGCATAAGGAGTGCAGTATTTATAGCACGTGGCTGCCATGGGACCATATGGGACACTGTAACTAACAGTTCACGCAGTCACCGCTGGGGTCGTAATTGGTGCGGTGGTGGCTTGTCAGTCCGAGTCCGAGTCGCTAATTGCCGTGATTTCGTCATTCGTGCTGGATGCTGGTGTGACGACTGCTCGGCAAATTGGCTCTGATGATGGATATGAGTGAGAATCCGAAACGTCGGGCCAATAAATTTCTTGTTCCAGTGATCGCATCTTTGTCTTCTGCACCCAAACCTATCACAAAGCGACAAAACTCGTAGCTAAAAAGGCTACCAGCAGAGGGGATAACTCGATCCGGTTTTGGGATGAGTCGTAGACTCCCATTATGCCTTTTTAATTTGATCTTTATGACATTGCTCCTGTCATGTTCCGAGGCGCGTGTGGTATGTGTAGGACGGTGACTTTATTACGTGCAACCTCATCGTAGGTCGACTAAACTCAGACAGGCGTGTGTTCGATCTAGCTTGGATCAGGCGTCTAATTTTCTCGTAACACCAACCAAACGTTCTTTGGGTTTTGTTGCGGCGCACTAACAGCTGAGCCTGAGAGGCCGCCTGTTGAAGCAACTTGTTACCTCTACAGGAGAAAAGGCAGATCGTGTGGCTCTGTCTCCAAGTTGTCACTGGAGAGTGTGGTTGGGGAGGGCGTGAATTAAGTCAGGAGCCAGCTCGAATGTGGCAAACTTAGAAAGGCTATTCAGTATTATCAGCTACTAATGTCCACCCCCGGTTGTCTTGACTTAAGCAAACGGCGTGTGAGGAGTTTGTTAGGGGAGCGACTACAGAAAAATCCATATGCAAGTCACCACTGCGTCTTACCCATGGTAGTGGTGAACCTTGTTGCTTCTTACTTGACCAACAGAAGCCAAGCCCCGAAAGAAAAATCATATCCTTGGTCGGCAGCCGATTAGAACCATTTGGAGGAAGTTGGTACTACAGTCCTACGCTCCAGAAAGTAAGACTGAAGCCATAGCGCAAGCGGCCGGCTTCTGATTGCCATGTGAGCCAACCCATAAATGAAGCTGAAGATTTATCACCACGCATCCCATAAGCGAACACGCTCGCAATGTCTTCCCTCTCAGTTGGTAATACATCCAACTAGTTGAAGATTCGATCGGACCTTATTTCGTAGCCGCACCTGCAGTAGACAAGCCCCAGCCGCCTGTCAAACGGGAGCAGTGGTAATAGGTTTAACACTAACCCTAAGCATAACTCCTAACCCCAACCCCTAACAGGTGCGGCTACGAAATAGGATCTTTCCGAAGATTCGCCAGTCAAAGGATGCTAATTTCCCGAAGCTGGAGACCGTCTCAGAATGACTTTCTTGGTAATCAGTCGTTTGGGGTAGTCGAGCCTACCCCCCCCCTTGCCAGGAACTAAACGACCGGAATGGCAACGTGTTGCCTAGGGAGTAGGCGGAGCCGTTCAGCCTTCTAGTCCTCACATTTTCCCTTTGTTTGCCCCAGCTAACAGCGCGGCCGGCGGCTGTATCAGCATTTGATGACTGCATCGGTCTGAGCAGCAAGTGTCGGTCTGTACAGATCGACGTCTGTGAGGTGGTATGATGGGTGGGTTAACCAATTCTACCTGCTCAATTAGTAATACGCCGATCTTCGGTGTATTTCAGTCTTTGGTGATGTCAGACTGCCCGAACTGGCCAACAGCAAAGAAAATATGAAAAAGTCGAACGTCATCGACTTTGACGTGAAACACGAAAGGAATAAATGGAAACGTCGACGAGGTCTGTAGGCAGTCCTGCTTTGTAATGCCCCTAGCATTTGCCTTCGTTTTTCAACTACCCGAAACTCTGTGACTCCATCCCGAAACTACCGCCTAGCTTCTCACGTTTTAAAAACATCGGGATGCTGGCTAGAGCGCAGTTGGTAGCCAGGCCCCGTATTACAGGTGGCTGGGGGGTTTATTTACTGGGGCCATTTTGTGGGGCTCCATAACCACATCTGACCCATTTGGCTTTCGTTTTACGTTTGAGGTTAGGATTAGGGTACCGGTTAGTGGTTTCCGATTTTCGGTTTAGGGTTATGCCTTTAGACTTAGGTTTTCGGGTTACGGTTAGGGTTTGAGCGTAGGATTAGGTGTCAATATTACGGTTAGGGTTTTCAGTTACGGCTATGTCTAGGGGCTACGGTTGTATTTACGATCTCGGTTAGGGTTAATGGTTAACGTTCAAGTTTGAGGTTAGGGTTAGGGTTAAGGTTAGGACCAGGGTTAAGGTCGCCGTCCGCTTCCCCATTCCTGGCTACCAACTGCGATCTAGCCGGGATGCTTTCCGGGACAGATCCCCTTATTGAGCAACTTCAGCCAATCATTACGTGATCAAAATGCTTGTTCAATTTTGAGGTGAGAATAAGTAGATCTTCGAGTATTAGCTCCTACTCACGCTGCTTCAGGCGAGACCGTTGTTTCCATGCCAAAAAATCCTCTACATTTTTACACCTCTACGCGCAAAACGTCTTCGAGAGTGCCCTGCCGGAAAACAACAGCGTCAGTGAAGGCGAAAGCATATGACAAAGCGTTGGCATATGAGGCATTTATTTGGTTCATACATAAAATCCAACATCAGTGGTAGATTACCTACCAATTGCTCAAAAAGTATTCTGGGATTTGACGGGCACACTGTCAACCTTTAAATAATTTATGACTATCTTCTTTTACATCGGGTAAAGCGCATTTC